CAATTTATTTATTCAATAAAGTACTTTCCTAAATTCTCTCTTTTTTTATACAATTAAACCTTTAAGTGCAGTTCTTAAGATTCTCTAAGTGTAATTACTAAAAAACTAGGCAATAGCTTATTTATTCATCTATAAAAAGCCTTTAGTTCAAACATAGAGAGCAACAAATTCAATTCTTTGATTCTTTATGGCATTTCCAAATGTTATCTTTCCACCTGATTGCGTCGTGTTACCTTCTCAAGGCTTGCGAGAAGGTTTTCATCAATGTACCTCTTCTCCTTTTTTGATGCTTACTGAATTATTCACAACTAGTTTAGTCCATTAAATGACCACTTTAGACTCTCTCCTTTTTTTCACCTAGTACATATGACGTAAAATCAATAAAGGAAAATAAGTGTTTTGAGAAGTTTTACATCAAAAGAGAATAGAAAGGTTTAATATCTTCTTCTAGTAGAATTTTAGTGCTATTATAATATTCAATTAATTAGTTTATTTTCCTATTTTGTAGATTTACTACATTGACTTATTCAATTAATTAGTTCATTTTCCCATTTAGTATATTTTCAAGATTGGTTTTGAATTTCCTATTTTGATTGTATCTTCGTGCCCATAAATGAGCTATCTTTAACTTAGTTATTTGATAGACGATTCATATAATTTTTATACAAATATTGCATTATTGATTTGGTTATTCAAACTCGAGATCTCTAAATTTTATTCTTATTTAATTTTCTAAGTCCTGTGTTTGTTTCTGTTTGTCCTACATCATCATTGGATTAATAAATAATAATGTTTTTTTTTTAAATAATAGAATTAATAAATAATAATTTTACCATGTTCTAGTTCTATAAAGACTTTATGTCGAGTGAAAGATTCCAAGAATGGATCAGCTTAACCCTAATTGGTCCTACATCAAGGTGAGGTCATAACCCTTAATATAATAAAGATATAGTAGAAGTTTCATTTTTGCTCTGCAACTGCAAACTATAATATACTCATGAGTTCATCTTTATTAACAAGGTATTGATTTTCACAAAGTTTAAAGCTAACATGATGGTAATGAACTTAGTAATCAAAAGTGTGAAGAAGAAAATCAAGCATGTATAAATTGCCAAATAGAACATGCTGCATACCTTTAAGTTGATAACAGCTACTTTGCCAGCAGATGATGCATTCTTATTTTCAATAACCCAAGTCATGGACTTAAAACAAGTGAGAACCACCTACATTCATAGTAGACATCATTCATGCAAAAATTCAAAAGATCCAACACCACACCCCCATCCCCAAGGAAAAATGTTTGGTAACCAGAATTCATGGTTTAGATCTAATGTTGCAATAAGCCACCCATACAGAAAGATTAAATGCTCTCCTTAGTCATACCGGGCTATCTGGAGGACCATTATCACGGTGAATAGACACAGGTGCCATGGTAGGCTGATTCAGATCAGCAACAGGAGCACCAATATCATTTAGATTAAAACGATGAGGTATTATATCTTGCCATGGCCACAACGATGGCATAAGTTCAGAAACCAGTGGTGCGCTTTTTTTATAACCATCTTCATGACTATTTCCTGAACCCTGTGAGCTAGGAGGGGTGACTTTGGCTACATTCTTTTTCACAGAGGCAATCTTTTTCCCAGCCTCTCGAAGTGCACTAAGAGCTGCATTGTAAGTCTCAACTGCAATAGACCCTTCTTCTGCATATTTAATAGCTTCCCGACATAGATTGTTGAATCGCAGGGTTAGACTTTCAATACCTTGAGGATCTACATTTTCATCTTCCAATCCAACTGAGTATTTGGCATTTCTTGTCCATCGCTTTAGTATGTAATGAGAGGGAAGAGTGAGAACATTCGTCACGGTAAAGACCGTTAATATATGCCTACAAAGAATGCCTGAGTATTCAAACATCTGGCAGCTACAATTCGCTTTCATCTCAGGAACATTCAAGGTGACAATGAAAGCCTTGTGATCATGTTCGTATTTTGCAACTCTATATTTACTTATCAATGCATCACCCTCAATCTTGTTGGCAGTGTACACAAAAGTTTCAACTAGTTCCTCCTGAAACTTAGCAAAAACTTTCTTTGTATACAGGTTTGAAGCCTGTTGCTCCATTGGAGATGGCGTCTTCAGCACTGGTGTGGTGCAAATTGTATCATAATCGGCTTCTATTTCTTTTTCTATAGAATGCTCTAGAGACCTTTCATACTGCTTAAAGAAAAGTGGTATGGTAGTCTGTTGGCTCACATATCCATCAAAAAAGGAGCTAACCCCCTGTTTTGAAGAAAGTGCAGCAAAGAAAGTACCTCGAAAATAAACTGGGGCCCATTGCTTGCGAGCAGCATATACTGCCTGAAGCCACTCATTTTTCTGAAGGTTATATTTATCAAGAAGAGAGTTCCATGATGATTCAAAATCCTCAATCGTCTCTGAAAAGTTTATGCAGCTATACAACTCTCCATAGAACGAAGGATGGGCAAGATATATGTGAGCCAATCTTTCTTGGCCTTCTCTCAAGATGTGCCACTTGCAAATGCAGTGGCGAGTTCCAGGAAGAACTTGAGCTACAGCTGCTTGTATGGCTCTATCTTGGTCTGTTGTTATAGAAACAGGAGGTTGACCATTCATTGCCGAAAGCCATGTCTTAAATAGCCAAGAAAAGGAAGACTCAGACTCGTCAAGAAGCAAGGCGCAACCAAACAACACTATCTGTCCATGATGATTTATACCTGTGAAAGGAGCAAATGGGACCTGATATTGATTTGGTCGATACATTGTATCAAAAATAACAGCATCCCCAAAGTGATTATAAGCAGTTCTTGACCTTGCATCAGCCCAAAACACATTAGTCATGCGGTTATCATCATCAAGTTGTATAGCATAATAGAAGCCAGGATTTTCAGCTTGCATCTTCTTGAAATAGTTCAGGAGATTCTGAGCATCCCTTCCAAGAGTTCTCTTCCGGCTAGGAGATCGAACATAATTCAGAGGTCCGAAATTCCTAGTTGCACAATTAGGTTCAATGGAGGAACAATTCCTAACGCGATTTGATTCATATGATACATGACCACCATCCACAGAAAGGTATATATCACTACTGGCATCCAATGTTTCAGCCACATTTTTTGTAGCACCTGCAAAATGCCGACGAGGTCGAAGCTGGTGGACCTTGTTAGAGTCACCATAGAATGGTTATGGTCCTCAACCAATTTGAACAACCCACTTTCTGCATCCTTTCTCTCTATCTAGCATTGCACTGCAGCTCTCACATTCTTTCTTTAAAAACTCTCTGACATGCAAATCCCACTATGAT